AGAATTAGACTTACATTTAACTCTCTTTTTTAATGGCAGTGCTGAAGAACTTAGTCACATGCATAGAAGAGGAGACTGAAAGTTTTATTACAGCAATGACCTACAATTACTTGAACCCCTTCAGAGTTATATAATTGAAATCACATAGTAATGAATCATAAAAATTATTTTTTAATGAATCACCAGCTGACCGCTCAATTAGTTCCTCCTTTAATTCTGTTGAAAGTAAAGAACTGAAAACCTCCTGAGTTTCAAAAGGATTATTATAATTACTCCCCCTTCTCCCCATCCAATAATTTGAATTGTCTTCTTGTCTGACTACTCAGAGGTTCTCCCACCCTAAGGCAATGTGCTGCTGTAATTTCCAGTGGGAGGGAGGCCCTTTCATAATATAGGAGGTGGAGGAGAAGGGATTATGCAAGGGGCAGTGAGAAAGGAGAAAGCACCACACCTCAAGTATATCTCCAGGCAGATCAGTTTTAAGGGGAGTGAAGGAAGCTGAAGATCTAGAAATGACTGGATTCCATCCAGTAAATCTATCTTTAGGCCCTTGTGCCTCGTAGAAATCTTACGCACCCTCAGTTGGTTTAGGCTAAATAGCATTTCCTTTCCTGTGTCCTGCCCTCCTCGGGGGTGGGGGAGGGAGAGGTAAGAAAGAAAAGAAAGAAATCCTCAAGTATTGTGGGAGGGTTGTATGGAAAATCAGTGTGATCCCTACAGATAAGAAAAATTCCTCAGGGAGAGGGATTTGGGGGGTGGAGAGAGAAGGAAGGAGTGGTAGGTGTCCAGAGGCCGAGTAGATCAGGGACTGCACCTACCCTCATCCCCCCAAAACTGGGAGAACCTTGAGGCAAGGTTCTCTCCTTCCTGAATCAGCACCCTTGGACGGCATTTCATTTATTCAACAAACATATTTTAGGCACTTTCTATGTCAGGCTCTGTGCCAGGCCCCAGGGATACAAAGACCTTTATACTCTTGGTCTTCAAGGAAGGTGATCAGGATTCAGCATCTTCACCGAGGTGTTCTAGCCCACCCAGTTACCCTCCCTGCTTCCTACAAAATGCTCCCTAAATCCTGAGATTTCTCCCCAGATCCCTTGTTCCCTGTTCTACCACTACCAAAAGCTATGTTCGTTTCATTTTCTCCATGCTTTCTAATGTGGAATGGGCCAAGCTACAGTGGGTGATGCAAATGCCTTACAGTGAGTTACAGGGATGCCTGAGATAGTTAGTTCCTCAGCCCCTCAGTATTTCAGGATGGGTGAGTGGGGGGTGTTGAGACCTAAGCTTTAGGAGGCCACAGAGACCTCTAGGCAGCAAGAAGCTTCTTTCAGTGTGCTGTCCAAATGTTATAATTTTTTTTTATTTTTTAAAAAGATTTTATTTGTTTATTTGACAGAGAGAGATCACAAGCAGGCAGAGAGGCAGGCAGGGGGTGGGGGGGTGGAGCAGACTCCCTGCTGAGCAGAGAGCCCAATGTGGGGATCATGACCTGAGCCGAAGGCAGAGGCTTAACCCACTGAGCCACCCAGGTGTTCTAAATGTTATCATATTTTTAAGTGTGCTTTGGTGTCAAATATATTGGGAAGCACTGTAAATTAATTTGTGAAATTATGAACCAATAGGTCTATCTGAGCAAAAGTCCAAATATGCTGCCCAGAAGCTACATCTGTCCTACATACCTCTTTGGTTTGGCAGAGACAGCGCTGACAATTAAAAAATAACTTATTTTCAACATTAAAAAATTTCACATAAAAATCTAGATATCTGGCTTCTCACGAAAAACTGTGTGAGCTATAACCTCCTTTTGTAGCAGTCAGTCGGCAATGAGTCCTAGCTGCCTTTGCCCTTTCCCTTTATTTATTTTTTTTTTTTTTAAGATTTTATTCAGGGGCACCTGGGTGGTTCAGTCGTTAAGCATCTTCCTTCGCTCAGGTCATGATCTTAGGGTACTGGGATCGAGCCCCACATCGGGCTCCCTTCTCAGCAGGAAGTCTGCTTCTCCCTCTCCCAGTCCCCCACTTGTGCTCCCTCTCTCACTGTGTCTCTCTTGGTTAAATAAATAGATTTTATTTATTAATTTGACGGAAAGAGAGAGGGAAAGCACAATCAGATGGAGTGACAGGTAGAGGGAGAGCAAAGAGCCCAATGTGGGACTCGATCCCAGGACTCTGGGATCATGCACCACCTGAGCCAAAGGCAGACGCTTAACCGACTGAGCCACCCAGGCGCCCTGGCCCTTTCACTTTACCTGCTTTTTCTCACCCATGTACGCCCTCCCCAATTCCATCATCACTTGAGCTTCTCTCTACCGTGGTAGAATACAGTTGGTGCTCATGCTACCTTCAGACTTACATTATAAGCACACACACAATGCCTGCTGACTCAGTAACAATACCCTCAAAAGTATATTTAGAGGGGTGCCTGGGTGGCTCAGTGGGTTAAAGCCTCTGCCTTCAGCTAAGGTTATGATCCCAGGATCCTGGCATCAAGCCCCACATCGGGCCCTCTGCTCAGCAGGGAGCCTGCTTCCTCCTCTCGCTGCCTGCCTCTCTGCCTACTTGTGATCTCTCTGTCAAATAAATAAATAAAATCTTTTTTTTAAAGTATATTTAGAAATGCAATTTAATTTTTATTATAAAAATACTACTTATCCATCAGAGAAAAATTTTAAAAATGAAAGGAAAAATTAGACATCAGAGATCTTGCTACCCTGAAATAATGTTAATACCTCAGGATGCATTTTTCTGATTTTCTCACATACAAGGCCGCACAGATCCATACGTAGTTCCAGATGGGCTTGTATTTTTGTGTACTTCAAAGCCACTGTGATTTTCCTTTGTGTTTAAAACCACGGGATTTGTTTCATGATGATGATTTCCTACTGATAGAAATCATCTACTTCTAACTTTATTGTTCAATATATTACATACATCAAACCTTACATATTTTATTTGATATAGAACTCATTACATGCTTAACCTTATATAACATTTCTAACTTCGCTGAACTTGGTTTAAGCTTCTCAGAGAGCACATTAAATGCTTTAGAACTTCGTTGGTGTCTACCACTCCGTTCTGGTAGAGAGCAGTGTGCTATCACTTTTGTTTTTCACTAGCTCAGATGTCTGCAATAGCCAATTTCAGGTAATTGTCAACTGAGTACGGCCTATAATTTTACCATGTTTGTGTGCATGTTGAGATGTCGCCGGTTAAAAGACTAAAGAGCAAACACCTCTCCTCCCTGCCCCTCTGAGGTCCGGGAACTAAATGGGCCCCTGGACTTGGAGAAAAAAAAGAGAAGTCCGAACTGAGCTAAGATTCTGTCCCCTCTCATTCTGGCCTTCCTACCTGGGCATAGATAGAAATTAAGTGCATAGAATGACAGGCAAATAGAAAAATAAGGAAGTACTTCCTGGATGCCCAAGTTTATGGAGATTCATCCTTGCTTTGCCTATTGCTCCTCCCTAAAAAAGACTACTGTGGCAGCCTGCATTTTTCACAGAATTACATTCTGTACATTGCGAATATATACATAAAAGTTTCTAATAATTTTACAGAAGCAGTTGAAGAGGCATACTCAGTAGTTCTCTCTTCTGTTTTAACCCGAACACACGAAGTTTCAGAGATTCAAATTCCAGTAGCAACCATAGCTTGAGAGGGGAAATCACGAACTCATGAAATTATGAGGGAGGGGGAGAAGGCTTCCTTTTCTTTTCAAGTAAAATAAAAGAGTACCAGGAAAGGTTGTTGTTTTAGTGGTTCTTTCTAGTCAAGGAGAAAATGATGTTTATTATTCGGAGTTATCTGTACTGTTGTGGGTCACCTTTCTGTTGTATATCATAGCAGCTCTGGTAGTATTAAATATAATGTGAATCTGTGTCATAATAATCCCATTTTAAAGTTGTTCCACCTTAAAAGAAAAATAGTTGTTCCATGTTGAACTTTACTTTCCTGGATTATTTATATGTTGGTTATTTTAACATACATTTACAGAATGCCTGCTCCGTGCCAAGCACTATGCTAAGTGCTGAGAGAAAAGGACGAATGAGACAGTCCTTCCCTTCCAAGAATCTCAGTGTAGGGAGACTGACAATGGCAGTAAATGCAATGATGATATGCAATTTAATTTTTTTTAAGATTTTTTTTTTTTTTACTTATTTGAGAGAGAGTGAGAGAGAGAGAGCATGCAAGTGCACACACAATAGGGAGAAGGGGCAGAGAGAGAGGGAGAAGCAAAATCCCGGTTGAGCAGGGAGCCCAACACAGGGCTCAATCCCAAGACCTCAGATCATGACCTGAGTTGAAGGCAGACGCTTAACTGACTGAGCCACCCAGGCATCCCTGAAGTGCAATTTAGAGTAAAATGAGTCATGCGATAGGGCAGGCATGGGAACACATGGGTGTAACACCCAACCTGAAAGAGTGATTAAAGTTGAAAAAAGGAGATGGTGGCTGAATCTTAATGGATGAGTAAGAGCTTCCCAGATAAAGACAGGAGAAAAGTCATTCCAAGCAAGAGGAGCAGTATGTGCAGTGAAGAGTAATGAGAAACAAGGTGAATTTAGGGAACTAAAATTTGGTTCAGCATGACCAAGAAATGAAGCTGGAGAGCGGAAGAGAGTGCTGGCAGGTGAGGCTGAACAGAGGGGCAGATCACAATGGATCTTTTAAGTCACACTAAGGGTTTACATTTTATTTTCAAGGCAATGGAAATTCACTTATGGCTTGTTAAAAGAGGAGGATCGTGATCAGACTCATGTTTGAAAAGGTCAGCTTGTTGACAGGATGGAGAATCAATACTGAAACCCAGAAGAGCAGCTGGGAGCTGGTGCAGTTGTCAGGTAAGGATAATGGTGTGAGCCTATGCAGTCACAGTGAAGACATGGGAAAGAGGTTGCAACTGATGATGTTTAGGACATAGGTTCCGTGAAAACTGAAAACTTCCCAGATGTATGAAACGGAGGACTCTCTGTTCACGGACATGAAAAACGTTCATAAAAACGTTCGATCTCCTTCATTGGTGCAAAATTCAGATTAAAGCACCTAAGAGTCATTCTTATTTTTGAGTCTTTAAGGTTTACGTGAAAACCGTTTCATCCTCTTGAATAAAAAAGATCCTGATGGTCTTGTTTCAACCTTCTGTACATCTTTTTTCCGAATCATAAAACCACCATTTGCTGAGAAGGTGACAAAAAAATGGGGATGTGGTTCTTGAGAATAGCACCAATTTCACATGTCTGTCACCACAATCTACTACACCTGTTCAGACACCCACTGCCTGTCATTATTAATAGCCTTTTGCTTTCTCCATTTTCCATTCAAACCTGATTTTTAAAAAAAAATAGGTTGACTACCAAATTGGGTGAGTCAGTTTCAAAGTCATTCTTAGGGTTAGTGGAGTTTCGGTTCTCAAATTTGTTTTAAATAATGAATTATCCTAAATGTCCAAAAATGTGGTTGAGTAATACCATCAGTCCATCTTAAATGTATTGGAAGGCAGCAAGGGAATTGTAACGCAATATGAGTTTAAATTTAGGACTCAAGTCATGTACTATGATAGGTATGATTTGAAGGAAAATGTAATTGCTAATGTCAACATAAATTTGAATCAAAGGGAAAACACACTGCTTAACAGACTTCATAGATACAAGTCATAAAACATAATATTGCATTAGTTAGAAACTTTGCAAGCTTATTGAATAAGCTCATTATCATATGAAATATATTAGTATGCTTTTATTAGAACCACTTTTTCTCCATATGCCCTTGAATATAATATTAAATTGCTGTTGTTATAACAATATATAACAATATATATAACATATATATTAATATGTTATATATATTAATTAATATATATTAACTATATATAATATATATTATATATAATATATAACAATATATATAACATATATTAATATATATATGTTATTAATATATAACAATATATAACAAAATACTTAGAATTCTATTACCAGTGGCACTTAATGGTAGTACTAAAGAATTATTGCTAAATGGAGTTTGGGAAATTTCTGACTCCACTAACAATGATATGAGACTCAGAATGTCCAAGACAGAAATGTGGGCCTTGTTTTTTTTCCCCCCTAAGATTTTCGGTCTTGGTTTACACAGTAAGTTCCTGTAACTTGAATTTACAGAAGGAACCACGGAGATTATCTTGCTTAACCCCCTAATATTAAGGAACTGAGCACCAGAGGATTATTTGATACAACTAATGAGATAAAACTGGTCAATAACGGCCCTAGAATGTAGACCAGAGCTCTCCTCAAGCATTCCTGCTGTCTCTTCCATGACCTTATCACTGACATAGTTGAACCAGAGAATTTCCAACTACAGAAGGAAATCTTTTTCATAAAGGTAATAACCATCCTCTAAATTATACTACATTTTATTTAAATTCTGATTTTCTTATCTGTATTCAGTGTGCTTAAAGGAAAATAAATTCAAATAATTACATGTGTCAAATTTCAACTAGATGAGTTTGGCGGTTATGGGGAGACTTAGTCAAAAGGATGAAGCTTTTTAAATTTAGAAGAATTTCTTTCTTTGGAGTAAAAACAGTGTAAATCAAAGTTGACCATGTCTTGCTCAAAGAGATCAGAAATTCTGTGTTAATTATGATACGGCTGAGAGGTGATCAGCACCTACGGAGCCTAAGCTGAGTTCTTCCACACAATCTTACAAAGCCCAGCCAGCTTTTACTGATTTTGTGATTTTCAGAAGTTTTAATGATGATGTTCCTGTAATCATGAAAATCTTCAGCAAAGAGAAAGAGGAGGCCTGGCCAGAAACTGCATCAGGGGTTTTTGATGCAGCCCCAAACAGGTATATTCTCTTCTTTCTACCTCCTTGTTTCTTCCTCTTATCACGAAATACAGAAAAAAATGGAAGAGACAGTCATGCTAAGGACATGACATGTAATGAGTGCTGGGAATGTGCTGGGTATCCTGGTCTTCCTAAGCAATATTTAGTTGGAGTTATTTGATTTCTGGCCTTTAAATTCTTTTTACAAATTTGTGTTGAGAGTGCTAACAATTCAGGAACACTTGGCTGCTCAGTGGTGTTCATTTTCACATGGGCTGGGTGGGGCCCTGTGCCAAAGGAAGTTCAAAGCCATAAAACAATTACTCATGCCCTTGTGGCTGAGCCATTGTGATCCAAGCAGCAGGCTGTCCAGAAGACACACTTACCTTCGGAATCGAAGTCACACTGATAAGTCCTTTCATAAAATGGCGGCTACTCCTCGTCAATAAGGGAAGGGAACTGACATTTGGACACCTGCAATGTTTTACATGTTTCTGCATTCTCACAACAGCCCTGTAAGAAATGTATTACTCCACTTCACAAATGAAGGAAGAAGTTCTGAGAAACGAAGAAAGTTGCTCAAGGTCACGCAGCCAGAAGACCGGTCTGTTTCAACTCAAAATTCAGGTCCGCTCCATTATGCTCTCCTTTGTTCCCAACCTAGGAAGATGTGTGTGGTCCCAGAATCTCCATACAGAGTAAAAATATATTGCAAAATTCCATGTCCTGTGGATATGAAGGGAGTTGCCCTTGCTACGACACCATATTATGCCTCTGTGCATTTTATCTGAAAAATCTGCTGGCTCTCTTTCACTTCAAATAGCCAGAATGTATCTCCGTGATGAACTAACTCTAGGGTGGGTGTTTACGAAATTCAATTTGATGATGACTGTGGGAACACTTGCTTCCCAGCCAACAAACCAGACCTAGGCCCAGTTTCAGCGCATCAAGATTGGCAGGTGCCAAAGCAAGTGATGACAGGGGGCCAAGACAGATGTTATTATAAATTAACAGGGGAGACTGTAGGATAGGAAAGAGTTATAAGATGTCTCAGGCATATGCTGAAGTATACTTTCAAGTCATCTAACTAACATCAGTGACTGAAACAGGCCGTCTGAAAAGTAACACGGTTCTTACTGAAAGAGCCACAGAGACCGGCCAGCTGAGCTCCCAGGCAGATCTGGTTTTGTCATTAGTAGTTTCGAGGCTATCTAGCTAAGCAGTTGAGCTGGCTTTCACATGCTGAGCAATGGTGTAAGACGGAACATTAGGTCATGGCCAGTTGGCCAGAGCCAGTCAAGTGTGTTCCACATTTAGAGAAGAGGAAGACTTTCTGGGTCTCTGCCCCCTTAAAAGGCCACAGGACAAGCTAGCATCAATCAGAATGACAATGTCTTGGTTTTACTGACCCTACACCCACATGGAAACTATCTCTAGCACCTTTTAGGCCTCATTTTTATATTATTCAATTTGAGAAAGTATCAGTAGTAGAGTATTTTCATCATATTGACAAAGATGAATATGAAAGAACTGCCGAATTCTTTCAATTCACACGCATTAGGGTACACATCACCAGTGCACATTATCTCCCAAATATGCTGATCACAAAATACAATGGTGTACTGAAGGGGCTAAAGTACGTATGTGTTAATACAGAAATACATAAAAACAGAAAAGTTTTTAATGAAAACCAAAGGACCTGCAAACAGCATTTTAAAACAGGAAAAAATGTTCACCATCGCAGATAATCACAGATGTGCAAAGTAAAATTGCAATGAGATCACTTTTTTTAATCTTTGGGATTAAGAAATTACAACATTCAATGCAATAAAGGATAACTGTGAGATGGGCTTTCTCATACTCATCTGATAAAGATATAAATTGCTATGAGCTCTCTGGAAAGTAATTTACCAGTATATTTCCAAAGCCCTAAAACGTTCATATGGGGCCAAAAATACGGTGGTATCAGAAATTCTGGGGGTGGGACAAAGCAATCTGTGTTTTAACAAGCTAGCCAAGTGATTCTGATGCACATTTCTGTTTGAGAACCACCGCCCAGTGGACTCTCCTTCCCTCCTGTGGTTAATGACCGTCTATAGGCTGATGAGACCTACATCTACATCTGTGCCCCAGATGTTTTTCTGAATTCCAGGCCCATAGAACCAACTACCCACTTGACATTTCCTATTGCTATCTCATAGATACTTTAAAAATAAGTAAGTTTAACATTAGGTTTAGATATTTTGCCCCTAAATATTCTCTACTGACAGGGATTCCAATCTCCCTAAATAGCACTATTACTTCTACTCAAGCCAGTAACCTAAGCTCATCCTTGACTCCCCTACCTTCTTCTACCTCATCCCCATATCCAATCAAGCACTATTTCCTAAAGATATCATATATTGCTATGGATTGAATTGTGTTCCCTTAACTCCTTTGTTGAACCCCTGACCCCCAGCGTGACTATAACTGGAAACAGGGGCTTTAGGAGGCAACAAAAGTTAAATGAGTTCATTTATAAGAAAAAGAAATAAAGAGATCTCTGTCATGTGAGGACACAATGCAAGCCATCTGCAAGCTAGGACTAGAGCTTTCCACCAGAAACCAACCCTGGTAGACCTTTTAATCTGAGATGATTAGCCTCCACAACTGTGAGAAAATAAAATTATCTTGTTTAAGCCCCCCAGTCTTTATTATATATTTTATTATGGCAGCTTGAGCAGACTAAGACAGGTATCTGTAAATCCTTTCCTGCTACCATCCTTGTACAGACCATTTTCATCTCTTGCCTAGATAGACTACTGCAATATCCTTCTAGCAGTTTCCTCTTGAGATCAGTTCCACCTACTTCCAACCATTCTCTGTACCCAGTTAGACAGATATCATCAAGACAGGTTTCTATTTAAAATCCCTCAGTAGTGGGGTGCCTCAGTAGCTCAGCTGACTGGGCATCCAGCTTTTGATTTTGGCTCAGGTCGTGATCTCGGGTTCATGGGATCTAGCCCTGCATCTGTCAGGATCCGTGCTCAGCAAGGATCCGTGCTCCCCTCACCTCTGCTCCTCCTACTCTCTCTCTCATAAATAAATAAATCTTAAAAACAACAACAACAACAACAATAAAAACCCCTCAGGACGCCTGGGTGGTTCAGTCAGTTGTTAAGCATCTGCCTTTCACTCAAGTCATGATCCAGGGGTCATGGGATCAAGCCCCACATTGAGCTCCCTGATCAGCAGGGAGTCTGCTTCTCCCTCTCCCTCTGCTGCTCCACTTGCTTGTGCTCACTCGCTCCCTCAAATAAAATAAAATCTTAAAAAATCCCTTAATGGCTTTCTACTACCTTTCCGATTAACGCCCAATACTTAACATAGATATGTCAGGATGATACAGGAAATATTAACTGATGGCCTCCAACCCCACCCCAATGTACTGATCCCTTGTCCTTCCCACTTTAGACACTTGCTGCCCTCAGTATTTGCGCTGCCTCACAAGTAACCTCCTGGTCAGCCTACCTTTTAGTGTCACTTTATGGTCACACTGGAAAATACTAGGCTGCTCCCCACAGCCCTCTGGGGATCACCTTCATCTTCTAGGGTCCTTTTCTCAGGTACCCTAGGCAGGCACTTGACTTTACTCTCACTCAGTTTAAGTATACTGCTCCAATTTTCTACTGTCCAGCTTATTATTTTATTTTTTGGTTTAGACTTAGCCAAATATTTAAAGTTTCTGTTATTAATTTTCTTTGCAGCACTTCCTCCACCTCTTGGGGGAATAATCTTGGCTTATAGCCCAAGTGGTGGAGGGTTGACAGTTAATAATAATACCAGCATTAAAAACACATCAATTAATAACTTTACAAATTACTCCCATGCATTGGCTAGAAAGCCTTGTACAATTCAGTTTCTATCAATAGCTCAATACTCTCTCCAGCTTTGTTGGGGAAAAGCCATGTTGACTTTTAGTTTCTCAAATAGCCCAGGCCCTCTCCTACCTTTGGGCCTTTACATGTTGTGGCCCATCGACCTGGAATACATTTTTTGCCTTTCCCTTTGCCTATTCACCTTTTATGTCTCAACTTAAACACCATTTCCTTAGGAAGAACATCCTATACAAGGTTAAGTCTCCTGTCATACATTCCCAACATACTCGGGATTTTTTTCAAGTTGTAGTTTATGCACTTGTAAATTACTTACAACTTTTTTTTAGTGTCTACCTTCCCTGCTAGGCCATAAATTCCATGTGTCCATTTTCTCTAATACAACCTCAGTATCTAGAATATACTAAGAGCTCAATAAATATTTATGACTGACCCCTGACAATGTTATATAATTATAGGGTAGATTTCAGAATTAGGGTTCTGGTACCGTATCAGTTTACTTTCAGGATGCCAAGATTGCAAAACACGTTTTTGTTTTTAAGTGTTCATTTGTAACTACTCTTCTGAATGAATCAGGATTTTATCAGACTTGGAAAGAAATTTGTTTGCTCACATAAAACGATTGTCCTTATACCCTAGCTTTAAACTTTTATCTCCATCAAAACAGTCTCATTGTTCTCATGGAACCTAGGCAACATGTTTAGAATGAGTAAATGGTATATATTTGATTTCAATCAAGTATAGTTACATTTCTGAAATACTTTTTCTGCATAAGATTTCACTCAAAAAGGGGCCCCTGGGTGGCTCAGTCGGTTAAGCGACTTCCTTCGGCTCAGGTCATGATCCTGGAGTCCCCGGATCAAGTCCTCATTGGGGTCCCTGCCCGGCGAGGAGTCTGCTTCTCCCTCTGACCCTCACCCTTCTCATGCTCTCTCTCTCTCTCAAATAAATAAATAAAAACTTTAAAAAAGAAAAAAAAGATTTCACTCAAAGAAAGCTTAAAAACCACTCCTAAACAATGACTTTAAGTCCTAGAGAAGAAACAACTTTTAGAATGGTTTGGAAGAAAAAAATATAGAGTTCTCCTTTACACAAAGACCTGTGAAACATTTACATTTACTGTAATGTCTGTAGTTTTGGGTTTTAATCTCTTCTCTTATACTTATCCTCATAATTTTTCCTTCCCCAATTTACATACCTAATGTATATTTGTCAGCAGGGTAGAGAAAAGGGAAGGAAGGACTGAGGGAGAGAAAAGGAGAGCTCTAAGTGAAAGAGCTGGATCTTAGGCATCTCCTAGGTGACCTATAACACTGTTTATCTTACCATGAATCTTTTCACCTTTCCTTTTACCCAATTTGGTAAAAAATACAAAATATATTTGATTCCATGTCATATTGGAAAGACACAAATAGATGTATGTCATCTTCAGGACAATCATGGTTGTACCACACTACAGAAATAATTTAACTACAGCAGTGATTCTCTGAAGTCCACACAACAGATAATCTAACCCACTAATCAACCCTCAGACATGAGTCATCAATCCATTACAAGCTGCCAACAATATATCATCTTCGTTTGGATGTCAAACCCGACATGTCTCAAGTGGAACTCATTATTTTCTCCACAAACTGGTTTCCCTTCTTAATTTTCCTCTTTGAACCAGTGCTACAATCAGAATCATAGTCATCCAAATTTACAACCTAGGGGCTCCCTTTATTGTCTCTCTTTTCTCATCCTTCACAGAACAGGGAAAGGGGAAGGAGTTAGACCCTAATCTCT